AAATAATAATATATGTGTTGTTTAATTTATTATATAATATTGTATTATATTCTATTGTATCATATTATATATATATGTATAAATATCATCTTGATATTCCCTTGCACTCATTTGGAAATCACGTCGACCCTCAGACATCACTGAGCTTGCTGCCAGCTGCCGAAGGTGAGGCGACGGTACAGCGAGATTTTGCTTGTCCACGAATTCTTGTCAGGCCAGAATTTCATGTCTCCGAAGTTGGTGTGAAACGACCCAAAAAAAATGTTTGGTTAAAAGCTGACCAATTGGTTGGCAATGAAGCCATCGCTTTGATGCAGCTTTTGTTGCAGATATGATCTCGGATCTCATGATATCTCATGTAGGTTACGCAGACAAGCTGCCAGCGTTTCCTCCAAAAGCATTTCAGAGCTGGAGCCTGCTGTTCGGTGAGAGCCTTCCTGTCCAGCATCTCGGCTTGTGGCAGTGACCAGTCACAGAGACGTTGCTAACATTTTCTTGGCAACTTCGGTATGTGTGAGTTGGACTGGATGGGTTTGCGCTTAGGCGGGTCTCTGCTTTCCAGGAGTTTCTTAGCTCAATAATTGTCCTCTGCAGGTACAGAGAAGCCATTGGGATGTGAACGTGGGAAGACACCAGGGACGACAGTGAAGCAAATCAGCACTATACTTCGTACTATTTCGTACTCCAACCGCTCCAACCCTCGAGCACCCAAACAATTTCAACCCTCGAGAATAGCACCCAAACAATTTGGAGCCCCAAAGACGCGTTTTCCTCACACGGTTGTACCTTGAGGTATTTTCGGCAGCTTTTGTCTAGACAAGATGTGGTGGCTAAACCCCGGCTTCAGCAGCTGCTTGGAGTGGAACGACCTCCTCCAGTAACTGCATCTGTCAGAAGGTTCTGCATGGGCATTTCCAAGCACAACTTCATATAATACAACTTCAGTAGTTCGGTCATGTTCGGTCATTGTTGCCCATCACATCCCATCACTGTACCAAGCAGCAAGAATTATGTACTCTGCTACGTTGATTTGGCCCCTCTGAAGCCAGATGTGACCCGAGCCACCGTGGTGTTTGAGCTACCGCGGTGTGTGTTGAGTCCGCTTTGCTTTGTGTCTATGTCAGTTGAAGAGAGTTGAATGATTCGTTGAATGTGATGTTTTGATATGTTTTGCATTTTGCTCGGTTCAGGTGGATAGTGGAAACGTCCGTGCACAGCACTGTAGATTTGGAGCTCGACATTAGCGCTGATACTTTCTCTCCGCCGGATGAAGGCAAGCTGATGGCACACTGCAATGGAACTGCCCCTTGCAGCGAATCTCACCATATCTCAGCAAGTTGTGATTTGAGATGATTCAAGGCAGCAGTCCCTATGAGAGCACCTCAACCAGCTGTGCACCTACGGAATCTTTGGATGAATCGTCGAAAGCCTTGTGAGACAGAGATCAAAGTATCGCTATGGTGTAGCCAGCAGATCATATCTTGAAGCTGAACCACCAACAGTACTCCTGATTACTCCTGCATATGCCTCCTGCATGCGGATGTAATTCCATACGCCTGCTATCCGATCTGAGGAAAGCATACTTGTTCAATGGAAGGCACAAAGGGAGCCCGCTCAACTCAGTCATGATCGCAAAGAAAGAACCACTAAGTCACTATACTATAAGTCACTAAGAATCACAAAGATATAGAATGATATAGACGCAAAAGGCATGTGTTCTTACTAAAGCATACAAAAGCCAGGATGCCTTTATTGGGTCATATTGAGTCCATCACTGTCCTTGTTTGCGAGGGTGCTTCACCTGAACATGATCCACTAGCGTCCGGCAAACCGAACGAGCCGATTTGTGTGAGGGGCCTCCCCTGCGGAGAAGAAGCAGTGCTTGAGGCCGGTTGAAGGGGTTCATATCACAAATTTCCACTGATATCCTGGCCACAAGCAGCATCCAAGGATGTCATATGATGTCATGAAGGCCCTCGTGTCAGCTACTGGCATGCTGCTTTTGGTTCATGTTCACAGCCCCGGTTGCTACAGTATTGGATGTTTCGCAAACACAAAGTTTTTTCCCCAAACAGTGTGTCCACACTGAGGGGTTCTTACGATAAGGGTTAAAGGCAGGGGTTGAAACAGGGTGCTCCATCTGGCCTCCGGCTATTTCCCTGCAAATTCTCGCAAAAAAGTTCCCTTCTGAGATGTCCATGTGCATTTCGACTGCGCAGGCTCGCACAATATGAGCGCCGTGGTTTTGGTCTGTTTTGGTCTGATGCATTTTCAGCAGTGCGAATTTTTATATCGCTCGCGCAACCCTCTGGGCACTTTGTGCGCGTCGAATCGCTCTCGCTGTGCCACGGTTTTTTTTTTTAGCTCCTTCTCAATTATCCTGGTAAAAAGATTCTCTGAGTTCTTTGCATTTCTTTGCTATGCTGCGTTGATTCTTTACGAGATTGTCTATGATCTTGTGAGTTCCTTGTCAAAATGTTTCTCAATTCTGCTGAGTGCGATCCTTGTGACGAGATCTTGTGCGTTCATTTGTCCTCTAGGATGTCCCCATATTTGTCCTCTAGGATGTCCCCATATGAAGACCTCAACTCATGCCTTTCAGATGATGAATGAACATGCGAAAGCGGCGCTCATGTGGTTCCGCTGCAAAACAGTGGCTCATGTGTGTATTGTGTTCTAGACAGAGCTGCGACAAGTCATAGCCCATGTGTTCATATAGACTTGCATGTTTGAGCTGCTGTGCAGTATATGATTATATTTATATAATTTTATATATATATATGATGCTTGTAGACTTGTGGGTTCATAGGCCATCAATCTTGAATCATCAAGCATCACTGACAGACTACCACAAGGATTTGAACTTGAACATGGATGCTATTTCCCAGAAAATAGGAACGGCGAGTAAGAGCAAAGGTTATTGCCCTATTGGAAGCCAATAGCCCAGCTTTCTTTCCGTGAGAGCTTTGAAGTTTGTGATTATAGCCTTTGTGGCAAGAACACAGTGTCACATAGTGTCGCCATTTTTTGCGGCCATGAAATGATGTTGTATTCACATGTGTTCATTTGTCATTAATGGGTTGCACATGGTTGCACAATAATTGAGGAATTTCGCACATGTTTGATGAATTTTGATGATGTTTGTATGAGCACATGCGCGAGCAGACGCGCAAACACCCGCGGACACTATGTAGAGCCGTATCATGCAAAATCGCAAGTTTCACATGCACACCGTGCGCCAACCTTGCAGACGCCTTGTCCATCCTGGTGCGCGCATGGTATATTCACCCTGCCATACTTTGAAAAAGGTACGATTTGAAACGAGAAAACAACTGTTTTTATTTTTTCATTTTTTAATATGTTGTTTGAATGATGTCTAGTGACTCTGCTGACTCTAGTGGCCTTCTCCAAGAGGTTTTTGCTGCGAGTTCAGTGGCAGGTCATGGCTCTCAACGGAGTTGGAAAATCTGAGCCTTTTGAATTGCAGCTGATTGCACCTGGAGAGCGGCAAGCTGTCTTGGAACCTGGAATGCGAGTTCGTGCTGTTTGGGCAGGGTGCCTAGCAATCCTTAGCATATCTCGGCATTGCTTCAAGTTTGATCCAGGTTTAGTTGAGTGGAATAACATGGAATAACATTCTTATGTTCATATTTAGCTGTCCTGCATTTGTCCGCAGAAATTTGCGTGCCTGCATCATTACGTCAAGGGTTCCCACCTTTTTTTGGGGGTTTTGCAAGCATTTGGTTTGCATTACAGTGTTTTTTTTGGGCATCCTCACGGGAATGCTGGGGACAGTCACACCCAAGAGAGAGAGAGAGTTTAGTGGAAGGTCATGCGTCCTGACCACAAGGATCCAGCAGGCTTTAGTTTCAGTGCAGCCGAAGTGGTGAACTCTGTGGTTTCAATGCCAAGGCCGGTGATGGCACGACCTACGATGCGGCATCTTGACATTTTTTTAAAGATGGTTTAAGAATGTTTAAGAAGCCCTGCATGTTGTGGACTTTGCGTGGCACCTTTTGGCATCCAGTGTGGCCGACCAAGCGGTTTATTACAGTAACGAGGTGGTCCATTCCTATCAGCGAGATTCTGGATATGTCCTGGTGGATTGGTTGCGTCCTGCTCCGCTAAGCGGAAAGAAGCTGAAATGTGTTTGCGAAGTTGGCGATGCATCATGGCTGAAGATCGCTGAGGGGAATTCCCCTATCCAACATGTTCATGTCTACTACAGTAGTTTAATCATTTCGTGTTTCACAGAGTGTGGGGAACAATAGCTTACACGAACTGCAAGCATCTGCAAGCATCTGGCTGTCATTGCAGTGTTTCTTGGGGTGTCCTTCTGGAACGGCAGACAGTCACGCCCCAGCAAGAGAGAGAGGGAGATGGAAATACTTTACACATGCCTACATGCTGTCTAAACCATGAGAAAGGAGAAAGGAGACAGGTCCTACGGAGTTGTCCAAGCACAAGTTGATCCGCTTCTGAAGAATGGCTAGTCATTGCCACCAAAGCTGTGCACTTTTGACAGTCAGGATACAGACCACCGATTGGTAGCCCGGAGCTGTGTGCATCCGCTACCAGAAGATACTTCATCTCAACTCCTCTCAGAGCCTCAGCCGCAATAGGGTGGTCCTTGTCCTCAGGAATTGTTGGGCAGTGGCTGGAATGTAGGGCTTGCTCCTGTGCTAAGGATGAGGAAGAGCTTGGAAGGACTTGAAGACAATTAAATGTGACCTTGCAGTTCAAAACAGAAAGTGTCCGATCTTGCCGCGCTGCACTGCTTCCAATCCAGCCTGTTGCAGTGGCATCTTCAGATGTGAGTGGAACGGAAAATATCTCATCATATATCATCGCATAATCGTTTATTATCATACATCATCATACATCATCGTACATCATCATATATCATCATATATCATATATCTCTGCATCATATCGCACCATGGGCGCAAACATCTCCAAACGCTGTGTTCGAAGTTAGAAGCCTTGATCTCTTTGCCCAGGTTTGAAAGGGCCTTAAATCATTCCACTGTGTGGAGCGTCGGGGTTGCTAGACGGCCTGTCCTGGCCTCGGGTGATGATCACCGGATATCACCGGACTGCATATACATGAGGCATCATGAAGCATCTACAGTATATAGTATAGGCATCCCTTCGCTTGCACATCAGGAGGCAGAGAACCCCCACCTTCACATTGAGGTCCTTGGAATCCTGAGCTTGGCTGGCTTGGCTGGCTTGGCTTCCATAGGAAGTTGATGGAAGTTGGCAGGCTCTTTGTACATAGCGATCTCCCCTGCAAAGCCGTGATGAAACAAGGTCAGCTTGTGAACCTTTTTGATGAAGTTGTGAATCCAAGACAAAAGTCAAAAGGGTTTGTCAGAGGGTTTGTCTTTTTATCTTTTTTGTGGGCGCTGACCTTGTTGTGCGACCTTCAGGGCTGTCAAGATAGGCATTGCAAGCAAAGTATTGCTGCCTTCTGAGAGCGTGTGCGTGTCGCCATGCGAAACCGCAGGATGGGTGATGTTGTGTGACGGTTCGAAAGTGTGCTCGCTACAGGTGCTTAGCAGTGCTGCTTGACTCTTGTGACCATGAGCGAGCTGTTAAGCACACCCCCATTTGGTTTTGTGCTGTTCAACCAGAAGATCATCAAGGAGAGTGTAGAGAGAGGGGGTTGAAAGAATGCAAGCTAGCAAGACACAGTACCATGAGTAAAAAACGGACCGATGAGTTTTCTTGCCGCTGGCGCAGTGCGAGCCTGCCTTCAGAGTTACCTTCAACGTTGCGGGAGCGCCGACTCCAGAAATCACAGCGCAGGACTACAGCTTCAATCCGCGTTGTTCCTTCAGGTTTGCTTGTGAACAGTTTGAAATAATTTGAAAGCAGAAGTGACTCAGAAGTGCGTGCAGTTTGTCATTAATGATTGTAAATTCTTAAAAGTTGCTTACTTCACCCCTTTCTTGTCAAATTGGACGGCGAGGATGTACAGACAAACCAGCCATCTGCAGCGGCCTTAGTGAGCACTGCAAAAGACTTGTACAAAGCAGACGTGCTGTGCAGTGGCGTTCTGTAGGGATGTCTAGTTGTCTGATGTTTTTTAATGCTTTCTGTGTGGTTGAAGAGAAGTATAGTGACATATAGTTGCATATAGATACATGTAGTGACATATAGTGACACATAGTGAGTGCCTACAGCATGCAGTTTACATGCGCAAAATTGCGCAAATGGTCTTCCTGCCCTGTGACTAGCCTTTTGTGAGGAGAAGTTGGGATCGCTCGTATCCCTGGGGGTAGCGAGTGCTTTGAAGGTGGGCCTCAACGAGGCCACGGAACTCTCTGGAAACTCTATGAAACTCTTAGATTTGCAATGGGCAAATGCTGGCACAGCAAGTGGAAAGTTAATGAAATTTAGTTGTTGGGATTGAGATTGTGCTTGTTTCCTAGCAAGTTCGGATGGGGTCCAAGAGCTAAGACATGCTAAGACTTTTGGAGGCAGGCGTCAACATGTTCATTGTTTGTTTGCAAAATCTGGTGCGAGAAATCAAGCGGGTCAAAAAGTAACTGCTTCTGGCTCGGTCGGACTTGGAAGCATCATGAAGTTGCAAAAGCTCAGAATGGCTCAGAGTTACAAAGTGTTACAAAGATTATCATAATTGTCAAAGTCGGCAGCACCCGAAGTCTGCCTCCACCAGCAGCGCAGCAGCGCAGTGCAAAGCCTTTTCGAGAGGCTCGCAGTGGCGTCAGCCAGTTAGGGCCAAACAAGCCCACCCTTGAGGATGGAAAAGGAGCAGCGGTCAGCTACAGCTAAAGGTTTCAACCCCATGCACATGGTATGTACATGTTGTATGGAGTACAACTCACACGGGCCATTGTAGCCCTTGTAAAAAGAAACGGGCCTTTAGCCCCTAATTCACAACTTCATCTACATCGGCTATCCAGCCATCGATGTCCTCTTGGAGTGTTGTTCCACCCAGAGGCCCAATGTGGGGCGTCAGCTCCCGCACAGCGCAGTCTTGGCAGGGATCGTAGATCCTTGGGCTTCCATTGAGCAGCCTGTAACACTGCTCGTCCTGGTGGTAGACAACGCCTCGAGGCGTAGCATAGATCGCCGCATTGGCATGTTCTGTATGCCAGTTTCGGCGCAGCTCATCGGTGGCCCGTTGCATCACAATCCGACCTTGCCTTAAGTAGGCTCGCAGGTCTTCATTGGCACCAGTGACTTCGTCGCATCGTTCTTGGAGGATGCGGTACTGTTCAGTTCGGTAGTTGAACTGATGCTCCAGATTGTGTATTCGTCCTTGGGCAGCTCGAAGTCGCTGTCTCATGGTGTTGAGCTCTTGGTTGTGTCCAGCCACCATTTGGTTGTGGCCGGTGACCATTTCATCTCGCAGCGTCTCCAGCTCCAGGATGCGCTCATTGGCCTCGTCCAGCAGTCGCTGTAGGCGATCAGAACGGACGTGGCGGCGGCGCAGAAACTCTGCACGGCATCCAGCCCAAGCCACAGCTCCACCAAACATGTAGGTGGTCCAGGCAGCTACCAGGAGAAGCACAGCCCAAATTGCGGCTGTTGTCATCCAGCTCGCAGGGTGATCTTCGGCAGCAGGTTCAGGTTGAGCAGCAGAAGTTGTGATGGGGAACATCAGCAGGTAGATCCAGAGCACCAAACGCAGGAGCTTGTCCACATACTTCAGGATCGGCTTGAAGGTCTCCTTCGGAGTCTCCATGGTCTCCAGGAAGTAGCTTCGCTCTTCTACGCTGTAGGGCTCCACAGGCACAAAGGTCAGGGTGTCCACGTAGCTGATGTTCAGGCTAAAGGCAAAACCTTCTGTAGGAAAAGTTGGGTCCTCCTCAGGACCAGCAGCATCTTCGTCAGGAAGTGCTCGAGGTTGATCGGCCTTGGCCAGGGTGAACTCGGTTCGGCTTTTCTCTCTCTCCTCCTTGGTCTTGCGCTTGGCTGCTGTGTAGTCGGCGTCGTAGGTGAACTTGATCTTGCCATAGCGCAAGCGGTCGGCCAGCAGCTGTCTCGTCCCTGTTTTGGTCAGGCTATCCGCGTATTGTCTCTCAGAAGACATCCAGCGGAAAGTGCCATTGAGAGCGCCCAGTCGCTCCTTCAGGACTAAGATCTCTAGGCCAGTGCGCTTGTCCACCAAATTCCCAGAGAGTCCTTCTCGGTGAAAGGAGTCAAAGAGGGCCTTTGCGTCCGTGATCATAGTCGGGGACAAAGAGCTTGGCATAGACATGGTTCTTGAAGAGGAGCTCGAGGGTGTAGTAGGTGTTCCCAAAAGCGGCAGGCAAACTCCAGAGCATCGCATGCTTGTCCAGCTGCTTGTGCTTCAGCCGATAGGGAACTTCTTGCTACCCGCGGCAGCTTAAAACTCCGCCAATCCACCAGGTGGTACTCAGACTCCGTGCCTTCAAAGGTTGACGAAGGCACCAGCATCAGCAGAAAACCTCCTTGTGAGGACCCGTCGCGCCTGATGGCAAACGAGGCGTCAAACATTCCAACCATCCTTAGCTTGTCAGCTGGGCAAATGTTGCTGTAGCGAAGGGAGACATCTTTGTTGTCCTTGGCAAATTGCAACAGTTTGTTTGCTTCAGTGATGTTGTGCATCATAGAATCGCCCTTTTGCCCGGCAATCAGCGAGGCTGAGCAGCAAAGGTGTGGTTGGCTTTGCACAGCAGGCCATTGGAGGGATCCCAGAAGACCTCGTAGTCGAGAAACTTCTGCAGGAGATAGTTCGGCTTCAGGTCCACGCTTTGCCACGGTGATTGGCTTCACCTTGGAGAGGTAGGTGCTGTGGTTGACCATCCATGTAGAGTCTTCTCGTTGAAGGGTGGCACCACAGTAGGTCAGTTCCTTGTCAGTCTGCCATTCACGAAAGTTGAACACTTCACGGAGTTCAGTTCGAACTCGGCAGTATGTTGCTGAGTTTTCACTGCCAGCACCCAACATGTCGTCAACGTGAAGGCAGATGATGCAGCACAGCTTCTCAGGGCCCAGCAGGTGGTCTGTAGGAGTTCCATCACCAGAGCAGTCCTTGTGGTCAGTCTCGTAGAGGAGAAAGCAGCAAGGATCCAGGCAGTGTTGGCGAAATCCAAGGGACTTCAATCGCCGGACTGCTTCAAGGTACCACTTACGTGGTGCATCCAGTTGGCCGTAGACCGGCTTGATGAGCTTCATCCGGGTTTCAGGAGGTGCGCCAAGGATCCGCAAGGACTCTGCAGGCAGTTGTACCCATAGTTCACGTTGTTGAGGAGTTCCTTGCAGGAAGGCAGTTTGGACGTCAGCAGTCCACACACCCCATTGGAGAATGGATGCGGTGCTCAGCAAAAACGATCGGCTCAATCTGGAAGTCGTAGGGGCAGCCGTGTTGAGGTTGCCTTCCAAGGCGTCCACATCGGCATAGCCACGCACGATAAGTCGTGCCTTTGCTCTTGGTGATCCATCTGGGTTCTTCGACCATTTCAGGAGCATCCTTGAACTCAAGGTTCTTGCCGGATCTGCTTCCTTTGTCGACTCGAAAGTCCAGACACCGTTCTCAAAGAACGATTGCAGCTCCTTCACCTTGGCCTTCATGAAGAGGTCCTTTTCGTGAACTGACAAGTGTCGTTCACTGACATCAGGCTTTCGCTTGGCAAAGCTCTTTTGTTGCCGAGCCACCTTCTTGGCAGGGAGGTTGGCATACATTCCATATTCCTTTCGGGTAGGCCCATTCAGCTGGTAAACAGTTACTCCAGTCCAGGCTTCCTTGGTGTTGGTGTAGAGGTGGTGGCCATTGTCAGTCAAGACCTTGATATGGCCGTCTGGAAGCTTCTTCATGGTCACCCTCACTGGGTCCAGTTTGTCCAATGGGACAGGGCAATCTCGTTCATCTTTGGCTGAATGTAGGCGCCGTCGAGGAAGAATGTGATGCCTGATCAGGCAACCAGCTCGTAGTTCCCAAAAGTCTTTGGGTCTGTTCACATCGAGCTGCAGGTAGCCAGACTCATCCATGCGCCATCCATGGGGCAAGGCGTCAGCTTGGATATCCTCCACCACGAAGGCATGGTTGACGTTCTCAGGATCGTCAGGGAAGTGGGGAGGTGGCTGTCGTTCCTGATAAGGAGCAGCTTGCTGTTGTCGAAGTCGACGAAGAGGACTAAAGATCGCGGTCTCCTGGTTGTCGAAGCGTCGCCTCATGCCACGAAAGCTCTCAGACCCAGCCGGCTCGTAGAGCGCAGCAGTGGCAGGGTCCAGCTGGAACTCTGCTTGTGTCGCAGGGGGTCCAGCAGGTGTAGGTGGATGAGGCGGCTCCATGTTGGGCTCGTCCAGGCTATCGGCAGGAACACCAGGTTGAGGTAGTTCATGTTGTAGTGGAAGTTCAGCAGGTTGAGGTAGTACAGCTTGTTGGTGATGTTCAGCAGGTTGAGGTAGTTCAGCTTGAGGAGGTACAGCAGCAGGCACCGGCAGGAAGTCGTTGCTCTCGTCGTCAATCTCCAGGGGCTCGATGTCCTCAGGGACCATGTTGCACGCTGGACTCGTAGGGACCGGCGACACATCCTCTGGCATGACATCAGGCAGTGGTGGAAGCGCAGGCTCATCCACAGTCCCAAGACGTCGTCGTTGAAGAGGTGGTTCAAGGATCTCAGGATCCGAGTGCATGCCAATGTCCTCGTCCTCGATGTCCAGCAGGTTGTGGCGGTTGGCCTTGTCCAAGTCCAGGTACCTTGTCACTCCTCTGGATTTCAAACTCTGAACATCTTTGATGGCAAGCTTGGCGTCAGCGACCTGGGTGTTGGCAGAGGTGTAGTCCGATCGGACATGATGGGGACTGCAGCGAAGTAGTTGGGTTTTCCAAGCAATCCAGTAAACGTCTGGGTTCCCATCCTTGTCTTCTCTGGCAACAACACGGGCAGGTCCATGCCAGCGAATCTTCACCAGGTCAGCAGCTTTGGCGTCGCGCCAAAAGAAGCACAGTTGGCCAACTTCCAAGGGCAAGTTGGTGCCTTGGTACTTCCGCAGCATGGCTCGTCTGAGCTTGCTGTCAGTCTCAGCATGTAGTAGAGCTTGTTTGGCCGCGGTGCGGCGTTTCAACAACATCTCAAAGTCCTCATGGCCATCAAGTTGAGCAGGGGTCATCCGATCAAGTGCAAGATCACCAGGAAGGCGGATCTGTTTGCCCAAGAGCCATTGTGAAGGTGAAAAACCACCAACGCTCGGTGTGGCATTGATCTGGGGCAGCACATAGCATAGAGCTTGTCGGATGCCATTGGTTCCCATCAGTGACAAGTCTTGCATGTAGACTTCGATGGCTTTTCGAAGGATCTGATGTCGGCGCTCCACAAGAGCCAGTTTCTGGTGAGCTTCGCCAGGGGCAACTTCATGTAGGATGCTATGCGTCGAGGTCCAAGAGTTGAACTCAGCACCAAGCCAGCCTCGTCCTTCATCAGTTGCAAGGATTTGAGGAAGCCCAAAGTGCCTGACCCAGCAGCGCTCAATGGCAGCGATGTAATCGTCGCCCTTCTCGGCATGGATCACAGCAGCAGTCTGGTACTTGGTGGCTGCGTCCACTATGGAGAGCACTGGGTATTTCACGTTGCCAGGCTTGACCCAAAAGACGTCGGCCAGGAGCTTCTCACCAAACTCAGTGACCTGCTTGATGGAAGCAGGGGCAACTTGGTTGGGCTTCTTGTAGCGCAGGCAGGCTACGCATTGGTACTTTCTTGCGGCTTCCAGGATGGCCTCACTGGCCTGTCGGCTTTCAAGGAGCTCAGTCAGAGCTTCAGTGCTCGGGTGGCCCAAGTTGCGGTGAAGTCGCTGCACTGTTCGGACAGCTTCCACTTTGGAGTCGGTGTAGAGCTTGATCAACTGCCCTTGCACAGCACGTTGTTCATCCACCGCAGCGGCATACTCCCAGCATTGAGGCAACTCAGGGGCAAAGATGGCAGCAGCCAACGTTGATGCCAAGCCAGGCTGGTAGTCTTCGAGGTATGCCGTCCTTCGGCCATAGCCAGGAGCACTGCCTTCAAGGCGACAGTGAGCATGTTGGCCATCACATCGGAGGTGCATGGCTGCGGCCATAGCGGCCTTTGTGGTCCTAAGACCTGTTCCCTTTTTTACAAGCCGCCAGTTGTCATCAAAGTCCAGGCAGCAGCAGCCATACATGCATTGGTCAAAGACCACATGGAAACCAGGTAGGTCTCGGAGAGCCACAGTTTTCCAGCTGAGTGCCTTCGAAGGTTGCTCCAAGTGAGCATGTCGTGCACCATCAACCTGTTCCTTGTAGGCCATCGCAACGAACCGCAGGTGGGTGTCATGGTGTTCTTGTCGTTGGTCTTGAAGCTCCACCTGTTGGTCTTCAGTTCGTGCCGTGATGTTTTGCATCTGGCTCCATAGCTTGCACTCTGGAGAGAGGAACAGCTCGTCAGGCATCTCAGCTCGAAGTCGTTGTAGAAAGTGATCTCGATGTGCTCGAATGTTGAAATCCCAGCCAGTGGCGTAGGAGAATTCCTCCACCTTCATGCCCATGGATTGTGCCACCTTGGAAAGGCGAGCTCCACCACAGTAGACTTCCCACAAAACTCTTGGTTTGGGTTCATGAAGTCCATGAAGCTCAGAGGTGACATAGGCCTGTTGCTCCTTCTCGATGTGGTTGAGCTTGGTCTCAAAGGTGGTCAGGTGGTGGCGGCGCAGCTTCGATTCACCTCCATCAGCGGAGGTCTCCACAGGGGCCATGTGCTCGTCCAGGAAGACCTTCTCCGCCATGTTGAAGTCGATGAACTGCACGGGGTCGCCAGTGACTCCACCATCGTTGGGCACCACCAGCTCAAAGTGAGGAGATTCCTCCACATCGTGCTTGTCGAAGTCCAGCAGGGGCATGAGGTATTCACCATGCAAACCAACAATGAGGTCTTGCCAGGGCTCATCATCAAGTCGAACTCGATGTCGCTTGCAGTCCAAGATGAGTCCAATGGCCTCCATAATTGGCCTGCCCATGAGCATAGGTGTCTCGCCAGGGAGAATGTAGGCCTGTATGAAGCCACAGCGCCCAGAGACAGCCACAGGCAGCATCACAGTCCATCGGCATTGGCTGCAAGCATCACCTCCAAAGAAGAACTTGCGGTCGCACTTGAGGAACTTGAGGTGCTCCTTGGGGAAGCCACGTTGCTCCAGCATGTTGACGTAGCGGCTAAAGGGTCCATAGCCCATGAGGAATGCACTGGCACCAGGGTCCAGCATCACGCAATCCCAGCGCTCTTGACCAAATTGGTCTTGGAACGTCACCATGCCAGCTTCTCCATCACCATCAAGCGCAGTGCTTTCCGTAGGTGCGGCACGCTTCTTTGTAGGGCTCGAAGTCGTCGATCTTGGCTGAGGGCAGTTGTGCGTGGTGTGTCCTTGTTGGCCACATCGCAAGCATGTTGTCGCCAAAGTGGCGTATGCTCGCCCACGTGGGTCAGCCTCCTTGGGATTCCTTGGAGGGTATCGGACAACATTCTTGCCTTTGCCCTTGCTTTTGCCCTTTGAGCCCTTGGGGCCTTTGCCCTTTCCACGGCTAGGAGACGAAGTAGAGGAGGTAGGTGACAGCCCAGGTGTGAGGTTCGCTTGAGCATCAGCCAAAGCGACAACTGGAAGGAAACCCCTTGCCAGCTTGAGGTCACTGAACCTCTTCCGGGCGTCCAGGTAGGCCGCGTAGGCCTCATCATAGGCTTGAGCTTCAGCAGAAGGTTCAGGGGGAGGTTCATCACCATAGTAGCCAGCTTCATGATCAAACTCATCGCCAGCTTCCCAGTCCTCCTGCTCGTCAAGGTCGTTGTGGTAGTACACGGTGTCGTCATAGTCAGCCTCAGGCCAGTAGGTCTCGTCATACTCATAGGACTCCACAGGGTCGTAGGCAGAACCATCATCAGCTGCATCTTCACCATAGTATGCCTTGCCACGACGGTGGAAGCGATCACCTTGGCCAGCATGTCCAGCAACATGTCGGTGATCTTGTCCCAGTATGAGGTACATGGCCTCTTGGACTTTGTTGCGCTCCAGAGTTGGGGCTTGGGTGATGATCAGCTGTCGTTGTTCTTTGGTCAGTCCAGCTCTCCTCATCAGATGCCATCCTTGGACTGCACCTGGAAGGCTGATCTTGTGATCCTCCAACTTCCGGTAGCACTCATCATAGTCCGTCACGTACTGCAAGAGGGTCTGGCCAGGACGTCGATGCAGGTGCGTGAAGAACTTGTCAAAGTCCTGGGGCAACTGCACGCGACTGTCGTACTCAAACGCCTTGTCAAGCACCTTCAAGATGCGATCTATCGCATCAGGCATCTCCACATCGGCCAGGTCATAGTTCTCCAACAGCTTCCATGCAGTGCCGCTGAGGGAGCCTAGCATGTTCAGCACCCCTTCGGCCTCGCGCTTCAGCAACTTCATCTTGCCCATGTAGAGCTTGATGCGGCGCCTGTACTCCCGGTAGTCGGCCAGAGCTCCATTGGAGACCGGGATGTTGGAGTCGCGCAGGGAGTCATAGCCAGTAGAGCTCGCAGCCGAAGACATAGTCGCCACCAGCAAAGCTCCAGGTAGATGAAGTCCAGGTCGAAGAGCTCGAGGTCGTAGAAGTCCACGAAGAAGCAAAGCCCAATCTCCAGCAGGTAGAGGTCAGCGCAAGCACCAGTCCGCGAGGAGGTAGTAGACCAAGTAGAGCACGGCCAGAGCACCAGCACGAAGAAGTCCACGAGGAGGAAGACCACGTAGTGCAAAACCCGATCGCCGGCAGGTAGAGGTCCACAAAGGTGCAAGGCCCGATCTCCCGCAGGTAGAAGTCCACAAAGGTGCCAAGCCCGAGCGTCAGGAGGTAGAAGACCACGCTCGAGCTCGAAGGGAAGGTTCCCCAGAAAGTTCCAGCTCCGCACACCAATGTCAAAGTCGGCAGCACCCGAAGTCTGCCTCCACCAGCAGCGCAGCAGCGCAGTGCAAAGCCTTTCCGAGAGGCTCGCAGTGGCGTCAGCCAGTTAGGGCCAAACAAGCCCACCCTTGAGGATGGAAAAGGAGCAGCGGTCAGCTACAGCTAAAGGTTTCAACCCCATGCACATGGTATGTACATGTTGTATGGAGTACAACTCACAATAATATTTTTTTGCAAAAACAAGTGGCTGGGTTCTCCGGGCCTTCGGCTTTTTCGATCACCCTTGCGTTGCAAAAATTTTTTGAACTGGCAGAAGGGTGTGAGTGAATTGATGTTTTGTTGCAGGTTGTTGTTTCGAACCTCACCTTGGAAAGCTCTGCAGATGCGGCTGGTGTTTTGAACTCGGTCATGGTTGGCATTGGTTGTCATGGATGATCTAGAGAGAGAGAGAGAGAGAAACAAAAAAAGAGAACATATGTATATACAGTATATATATATATATATAATCATGAATCATATATAATGTAGGCTGCCTAATAGTAAATCCCCCCTAAATAAAATATTTGTTTAAAGAAATTTAGGGGGGTCAGCATTCCAATAATAATTTTTTAGAACCTTATAGCTGGGATCATGATATGTATCTGATAGATTCTCCATGGTTTTGTTGGGTTTCTGATAGATTCTGGATGGATTTGGTTGGGTTTCTGAGAGATTGGCGCAGAGTTGGGAAAGGAGAAGGAGGAGAAGGAGAAGGAGAAGGAGGACAACAAAATTGGAGTTGCGGAAAAAAGTTTCCACTATTGCCATGCCTGGTGCAGGTTTGTTAGTGCTATTCTGGGGCTTGCATCTTGTTTTTTTAATAAGGGTTTTATAAGGAAATCAGCTGTTTGGTAATTGGATCAGATTTCTGGAATCTAAGCTTTTGCTAATCAAAAGTGAAGGCTGCTTTGAAAAGGATTTGCTTTACTTGACTCTTTTGGCAATACTAAAAGTAAATGGAGCTAATTGACTTTTAGTATTGGAGAAAAAATTGGAGTAGGGAAAACAGTTTCCACTATTGCCATGTTGGGTCCACTATTGGCCATGCCCTCGGGACAAGGTCTGAACATGACTCTAGTGGCAATACTAAAAGTAAATGGAGCTAATTGACTTTTAGTATTGGAGAAAAATTGGAGTTGCGGAAAAATGTTGCTACTATTGACAAGATATCACTATTGGCTAGGCAACATTATATATATATATACACATACAACTATATGATACTATATGTCTATGTATATATAATATGTGTATATATATATATGTGTGTGTGTGTATTGTATATGTGTTTAAACGGTTAAATGATTGCATCACGAGTCTGGTTTGAATGTTGGACTATATGAAATGCGACTCAAGTTGACGGGGCTGCCAAAAGGAACACAGCATCACTCACAGAATTTCCCCTGTAGCACTGTAACGGGTTTGTTCCTTGAGAATCTACTCCTGCTTAGGCCAACGAGTCGGTCTTGTTGATAGTTTATGACCTGATCTTTGAATTTTGCTCTTCCAGGGCAGTGACTCGGCAACGCTTGTCATGCCATGCTTGCATTTTCTGCACGTCCTGGGCATGGATGCAAGTCATAGGTGTATGTGCTGCAGGTCGCATCTGTGGACAAAGACTTGTTTCAAGCCGACTTCACTTCCAAGGCATTTTGGGAACTTTCGGCAGGTTTGGTCACAGAGCTTGCAGATGCTAGCTGCTAGCAGTCACACGTGCAAGGTTCAATTCTATGCAGCATTCAGTGTTCTGAGCTAAGACTGAATCCTGCTGCTGACGCTGGCATGCCATACTATTTCCGCAACATCTCGCTTAACTATATAGCAATATGCAGCCATTTGAAGATGTTTGAAGAATTTGAATACTAGCTTCCTGACTTCTGGTGACACTAAGGTCCATGCAAAATTAATGGACAACCAAATATGTTCCTCTCACACGTTGTTCTTTCCTTTGCAGGTGTGCAAAAGATCATAATTACGCCACCTAGGACCTCGGAAAGGGCAGAGCGAGTGGCAGAGCATTGATCAATCAGATGGTGGTTGTATGAAATAACTTCCCTTTCCAAGGTGCCGGCAACAGTAGCGATGCTCGAATTCCTGAATCTAACCAGTTGGGACCTTAACATCACTGCAGATGGGCTGGAGGGTTAGCGTGCTGGACATTGCTGGACCTTCTTTTGACATCTTTTTATAGGCACGCCGTCCACAAGTGCAGGGCTCTTAGACCGTCTTAGACCAGACCCTTTTCACTTGCAGTTTGCGGAGCGGCACACTGCATCAAGGCATCGAGTCCGAACAATCCTTGGGGAGGACATGGAGGGAATCGGAGAGAACATAACATCAAGGAACATGAGCAAAACATGTTTGTTCCATTTCTATCCATTTCTTCCCAATGTGTTGGATGTGTTGGCAATGATTTGCTGGCTGGGGCTGGCCATGGGTAGCCATAGGAGTGCAGCAACCAGAGCCTAGTGCTTCGGCATCAGATGGTAGTGAAGTGTTCTCTATCATTCTGCCTGCTTCTCAGACACAGTGTCTTCTATCTCGATTCCTTGTCGACCCGGGCACGTCACCACAGCCATGTCAAGGCTTGTGGCAGTGGTGCTGCTGCTAGCTGTGACCCTGGCAGTTGCTGTATGGGTTTGGCGCTCAGCTGACAGAAGGATACCGTTGATGAGAAGAGGTCTCCAAGTCAACTGTGCTGCATATGCTGCATCCACATGCATCCACCGAGGCAAAAAGCAGGCGGCATACCAATAAGGCACCAGTTTCGTTGTTGACTTGTTGACTGTCATTGGTAAAGCAGCTGCACAGCCGAACAAGTACGAACGGGCACGACTTATGGGAAGTCGTCATAGATGTGACCGTCAGTCATAGCCACAGTTAGTCAAAAAGTGGAGCATCCTCGGCTAGCATCATACTTAGAAGTCTTAAGAAATCTGTAAACTTGAGACGACGCATACAGTCAAGCAGTCCCTTTCATCATCTTTCTTCCATTGTTTCACTCATTTTCACTCCAAAACACCACGCAATCTTTCAGGTCTCCAATCATCCTCAAGCTGACCTGGAAGCTCCAGATGCAGATGTAGAGCGGGCCGGCTGCTGAAGAGAAATTAGACCTTTTGAATCCTTTTGATCCTTTTGCTATTTCAGTGCAGTTCCCGACGTTCCTGATAGTATTTTGGCGTGGTGTACTGTCAGCATCTACCATGTAGCATCTACCATGTACCCTGCTCTTGGATGCTTTTGGCACCTTTATCCTGAGATATCCACAGTCATAGCCTCGAGGTTCTTGCACATGTGGCGTGCGCATTTTCCCCAACAGACGTTGAAGACGACAAGGTTGAACTGAATGCATGCAGTCTGATGGCTTGGGATATCTTGCGATGCTATCAGCAAAATGTAGGTTGCAATATGTTTTGCATTCCACGATGTTCACCGAATGAATGTGGGAGGTCTTCCGAGAAAGTTGTTTGGATCTCTCCGAAGGAGATATCGTCGAGGTAATTGCAGGACCGAAGCAACCTCTTCATGACACCATATGCCAAGTGTGTGCTTGAGTTATCTTGAGTTCATGGTGCGGCTTTGAGACTGTCACATAGTGCCCATCACGAAGAATCACCGAGACTACGTTGAAATGGGCAAGTTGGGCAAACCCACAGGCGGCGGAGGCTGGTTCTACGGCCGCACCATTTCCGCTTCAAGCACCTCGATCCAAGATGTCTTCTCGGAATTTCAGCTATAACTTAAACATCTTAAATACATTTAAACACTGTAGTTTAATTGCTTCAAATCATTTGATTTTGATACTCAGCCGGTTTGTCATGTGCCAAGGTGACAAAGGTGGCTCCCAAGTTGCTGATCGCATGGGCTATTTCCCAGAGAATCGAGTGCATCCATCTAAGATCATGAGAAGCGGACAGAATGCAGTGGACAGTTTCCAGTACTGTAGCAAGGCATGAAGGCTTGCTAATTTGGCACGGCTTGTTTTGGCCTTGCGCATTGTTTACCAGGATGTGAAAGCATGAATCCACTGCCAAAGGATTGCAGGAGCTGGCATGGGCCTGGCAGAAGTGCTCAATTTTCCACTTGTCGCAGCCGGCTCAAGCTAATCACTCGTACTTGTTGAAGATAGCCACCCCTGTCAGCGCACACGTTCCTACTTGAACATGGTCGCCGGCTGCTTGCTCGCATTATCCCGCATTGGTTCAAACAGTTCCTTCCAATAGATCAGCAAAGCGGTAAGCCCCGCTGGGACTGCTCAAGCCTTGACAGTTTGGTAAGGACTCGGAGTCAACTACAGGGATGCATTGCCGTTTGACATGGTGGACTTCAAGCTTGACAAAGAAACTCCGGCAGGACCGGCAAATGGACAGGATCCGACAAGCAAAAGACGTTGTGAATCATTTTTGCCTTGTGAATCATCTTTGAAGTGTCACACAAAAGAAGTCTTGGCGGCTTTGGAATGGTCACAGGATTCTGGCGCGAGGCTATCGCACCAGATGTCGACATGAAGGTTCCGCCCCAAACATCCGGGCTGTATGCGCACTAATGAGTGATTTTTGTTATGATTGTCTTGGATTCCAACATGGGGATTCCCTCCGCTGCTCCAAGTTCTCTCCACCACGCAATATCATGCAACCAGGTTTTGTATGCAAGCTGCATGATATTGGGTGATGCATTCTGTGGAATTGGAAGGAATTTGGTGATGCATTGCTTGCAATCATGGTCAAATAATGTCAAATATGATCAAATCCCACACTAGTTTTGTCGCTGAATAGCAGCTTAGATCCTTCAGGAAGAGGAGGCAGCCCCTCGAACCTGGAAGAGGCGACCATCGAAAGTTGAATGCGTACTTTGGCTGCAAGGCATCTAAGGCCAAGACCAAGCCAGTGAGGCCATTGAGAGAAGTAAATGATTTACTAAATCATATGGAGACTTACTGCCTTACTCGATTTCTTACTTGTATTTTCAATATCCTTTGGAGCCCTTTAGGTTTGTATTAATAGGGCTTATAAAGATAGGGGGTAATGGTGGCATAGAATCGTGTACTCCAGATACTCCAGGACAATCTAAACCCAAGCTTTGTCCGCTGGTGTCATGATAATCCGATAGCTGCAGATGCTCCTTGAGAATTGACCTGCAAGTTGAGGCAGTTGTGGATGAACTTGAGGCAAAGCGCCGGCATTCGTTGGGAAGGCAGGTGGCGTGGATGGTTGACACTTGCAGATCTTGCAGCAGCTGCTCTTAGGAAAATGATGGAAAATGTAAACAAATAGTAGACAAATATATAGTAGCCAAGTGTAGCCGTAGCCAATATGTTTGAAAAAAACTTTGTCAATTTCTTGGCTTAGCCCGACGCCATGCCAGGCGCCCCTCGAAAATCATCCAGGACATTCAACTAAAAAAGGGTGGCGCCTGACAGTTTATGTGCGAAATAGTTAGGCCAACCCCTTCTGTAGTTCAAACTGTTGGAAGCCAAGCTCAAAACAATATGATATTTATATATGCACAGAGAGAGAGAGAGAGAAAAAAAAATTAGAGAATGGAGGTGATTCTGTGTAGTAACATTTTTTCTGTCTTGCTACCAGGAGGTTTCAAAGCTGATTCTGGGGAAGTACTGAAGCCTAAGATGAGTTCGCAGAAATGCCACTGCACTCTTTTGCCGTTCATCATCTTTTCAATCCTGGTTAGCTCTGGTTGGCAGTGAGCTTGGGCCAGCTGACAACTGCTGCCACCAAATCAGCCAGGAATCCAGGGCAAAAGTGCAGGCATCCATTCAACTCCTTCAACTGTCTTTTGAGGATCGTGGCCTCAAAAATTCTGATGCCGTTGTGATGTCAAACACTGCTGAAAATAGATGCCTTGTGGATTTGTTTCAAAAGGAGGCCATGCTGGGCTAGGCACCCAAGACATCCTGAATTAGTGCATTTGGACACGATGCAAGTCTAAGACGTGCCCAACTTTCAGCAAAACTGCCCAGTTTGGTGCTGTCCAAGGCCGAAATCAGCCTAGGCTGTGTAGAATGCACTTGCACTAACTTGGCATCGATACAGCGAGACTCTATGTCCGTTTGCTTGGTCATCGGTCAAGTCTTGCTGCGGTGAAGCAAGGTCTAACACCTACTCCCCATAGATACATGAATTCATCCAAGGTCGTTTTTGTGGGCAGTTTGCAGGAGTGCCCACTTGGTGTTTGAGGCCACAGCATATTAGATATTATATGATTCATTACACCTTGAATAAGCTTGGGGTTCTGTGCAGGTCCAAATGGCATGAAATGGCAAAGGAATGTACAAAGGATTGTTTAGTGCTCAATTTGGTTCCTTGCATTACCGCCACTTTGAAGCTTCTGAAGGCCATGCAGCTTGTACCACATATTGACACATGATGTAGTGACTGGCACTGCACCCTGCAACGGAGTATGCAAATCATTCCCGCTCATTTGCGATTTTCTGAAATCGTGGAGCGGATGCTGGAGAAGATACTACGTGCGAGCTGTATTTGAAGTGATTCAACTCAAATGTCCACACCTAAATCACGTAAAGTGAAAGGTAGACAAAGCATTGATTGTTATTAGGGACTCAGTGTGCTTCCCGTCCTCTATTTGTAAGCAAGCAGTGCTAGTCACAGATTTTAAGTCGGAACTTTCATGTGCTGGATAGCGGCATCATATCAATGGAATCCTTCGCTCTCCTTTTGTGCTGCAACATTATGCCAGCCCAATCTTCAAGTGCCCAGGGTTGATGCACAGCCAAACCTTGCTGCAAAGTCGCTGTAAAGTCGCTGTAAAGTCGTTTCAATGTGACTTGCGGACTCCTGCAGATCTTTCAAAGATCAGACTGAGCCCCCTTTGTGGCCAAGACTGCTGCCCTCGCTGAAAATCAGAAGTTCATGAAGTGTTCAGATAGGTGGTCAGGTTCAGTAGAAGGTCAAACCCATCATTGGCAGGTGCAAGAATGCTCAGCAACTTTCAGAAACCTCAGTGATACCTCAGGTTTTGCTTATCGCTAACATTTGGTGAGGTCTTGGGTTGGCAAAATTCCAAGAGTCTCAGAGGAGGCCGACGGCTCAGCATAGCTGTGCATCAGCCATGGCTCTCCTTGACTCCCAATGTTTGACGCAGATTTCATGCAGGTCACCAGTGCAGATCAGCACGCCTTGGTGTCGGTGGATTTAGGGTGAGGACCTCAGCGAATGCTATGCAGTTTGACTTTGAAAGAGGCAGAAGCCAAGTTGTATGATAAGATATGCATTTATATGCCAGATTTTACCAGGAAGTTCCAACCTGATAGTGATCAATCGAATTGTAAACAAACAAGGGAGAGAATAGATAGAGAGAGAGAGAGAGTGTCTAGCAATGTCCCACACTTCCCGAAACTCTGCTCCTGATCCCGATCAGATATGCTTGAGAAATCTGACACGACAGGTTCTCACCGCAAGACGTTGAAGAAGGTGGTGAGACCATGCGGGAACATTGCGGTGAGCTCAGCGGCAGCAAGTCCTGCTCTGAAACATGCAGCAGCTTCTACAACTACTCAGACTTGTGCCACAACAAGATGAAACCTTTCAGGCTTGCAAGTGGAAGCTGGTGAACTAGTTGAGGCCGGCCGGATC